TAGGGAGACCAAGATTGAGCATAGGAAGTGTAAAGCTAGACTAGCGTTAGCAGCCCTTTCGGCTCGGCCGCCGGGCGTAAATAAATTGTGTGTGTAGGAAGCCCGGCCAAGGCGCTTGCGGCCACACCGATACCCCAGTGGAGCCCCGACTGGCAAGAGTGAACTTTGGACGTGCTTCTTGTTTTACGTCGGGTCATCTGCTTCCCTGCATGAAAACCGAATGCAGAGCTTTGCGGAGAAAGAGCAAAAGCCGGTGGGTTCTGGATACTTTTCTAATCATCTTGGCAGCCTCACCAAACGGTCCAGCCGGGGTGCTCAATGTTACCAAGCCTTGTGCCTGCGAACCCGGCATTGCTCTCGCAACGAGAGGCTCCTGTCACGTGTGTGGGGTGGTGCTTTCTGGTCGCTTTGCCACCTTGCTTGATCCTTGACAGCCGATGCATGCGGGCCGCTTTCCAACTTGTCAACCCAGGAACGCGGAGAATGACATACGTATGGCCGGGGTGACGATCACCATGTGTTGTCAGCGAGCACAACACACACCATTACATGGAAACAACCCACGTAAGTTTGTACCACCAAAGTCTATTCGACACCGTTGGAGTCGGAGAGGTACTCGAAAGTCGGCAGATGCATTTGGAGGAGCCAAGCAGCTAGCGCAGGTGAAGGATTTGGAGCCGCATCGCTTGACACCACACCGCCGCCATGGGGCTTGTCCGTGAGCTTAATTTTCAAAAGCCGAAGTTCTGCCCAGACACCCGTTTGGGGGTATTTTTGCCGGAGTAACCAAGCTCGTCACGAGGCATGGTCAGCATGGGCGACCCTACTTTACCCGTCAGGGCCATTCTCCATCGGGCGTTCCCAGCGATACCATAGGCCATGACGGCAGTTCTCCGGCCGCTATGAATTATTGCACGCAGCCTCCTAGCTGAACTGGTTAAAAAAAGCGTGGGAGGCGGGATGGATTGGGGAATGATGCGGGGTTTCCTGGGTGGTGGTGCCAGTAGCTGACTGGGTGCTTAGCCCACCTCCAAGCTCCACAAGATGCACCGACAAGGAAGCTTTCTCCACTCAAGCCTCAATAGACCACTGAGCAAGTCTGGGCGTGCAACCTGCAGCACGGCATACTGTGCGATAGGCCATGGCCTGATCGTTCGGTTACTTACGACAAGAAGATGCGCGGTCGGCTTGCCTAACAAGGCCAAGTTGCAACGCTCGCAAACGCCGACAACGCGTTTGGCCTATCGTACGTCGGGGAAGGTAATGTTGAGAAGGCCATCCTGTATCCCGCCCGTCGGGCGAGACAGCACCCCTTGACATTGAGTGAACGTGGAGTTACACCGGGGCCGAATTCCTGGGGTCTATCCGGGGTGGTGTGGTATGTTGGCCTGGTAGCCTTGATCTCTCCGCATGTCGTACCCCACACCCACCACCTTTTTACTACATATAAGAGGTGCCCACACTTCTCTGGAATTTGAGTCTGTACTGCCTCTCCACGTTGCTGGACAGACCCAGGTTTCGCAGCTCTAGCGTAACTATACCGCCACTTTATACGAGCACCCGCAAACTCTTGCCCAGCATGTGGAACCCCTGGCGTGAGAACTTGAAGGACACTCCTAAGGAGAGCCTTAACTGGCGTCTCTGGTATGGTGTCTTTGGTAAGAACCCGTCGTTTTGCTCTCACTTATGTTGTCACTAACAAGAGCGCAGTCTTTGGAATCATGGGTGCTGCCCGTGGTATCGACGAAGGTCTGATTGGCACAACGGCCGAACTCATTCCTTTCCAGAAGAAGTTTGGTCTCGAAGACCATAACAAGAGCGCGCACGAAAAGGCAGAGCTCTTGTCCAACATCACCTCCATGGTGCAGATGGGATCAATTCTGGGATCCTTGATCGCCTTCTTTATCACTGACAAGATTGGCCGTCTCTGGGCTACACGCCAGCTCTGCATCATCTGGGTCATTGGTATCACCATATTTCTCACTAGCTCCTTGACTGGATCTATTGGTCAGATCTACGTTGGAAGGTTTATTGCTGGTGTCGGAATTGGTCAGACGACTGTCGTCGCTCCTACCTACCTTGCCGAGACAGCGCCCAGGGCTATTCGAGGTCTCTGTGTCGGTGCATTCGCTGGCTCCGTGTACATTGGTATTATGCTTGCCTACTTTGCATCCTGGGGCTCGTCCATCCACATCTCGTCCAAGACCGACACCCAGTGGCTCGTCCCCAACAGCATGCATCTCATGTTCGCCGGTGTCATTTTCTTCCTCTCTTGGTTTGCCAAGGAGAGTCCTCGTTGGTTGATCAAGGTTGGTCGCCACGAGGATGCTCTCAAGAACTTGTCTATTCTTCGCCAGCTCCCCGAAGACCACCCCTACGTCACTTCTGAGATTATGGACATCAACGACCAGCTCAACCGTGAGCGCGAGGCTACTATGGGCACTTCCTGGCTCGGACCAATCCGTGAGCTGTTCAGCAGCAAGGCCAACCTCTACCGTATCCAGCTCTCCATCTTTTCCCAACTGCTCGCTCAGTGGTCCGGTGCGAACAGTATGTATTACCTCTATGTATGACTTGTTACGACATTTGCTAACCCTATGAAGGCATCACCATTTACGCACCTCAATACTTTGCAATGATGGGCAAGACCGGCCAAAGCGAGAAGCTCTTTGCCACTGCCATCTTTGGTGTTGTCAAGTTCGTCAGCTCCATGCTCTGCGCCTTCTTCCTCATTGATTACATTGGTCGTAAGCGCTCTCTGTCTGCCGGTATCTCACTGCAACTCGTATCCATGCTGTACATGGCCATCTTCCTGCTCATCGACACCGGCGTCGGCCAGAAGGGCGCTGTACAAACCTCGAGCCAGAAGCACGCTGCCATGGGCGCTATCGTCATGATATACTTCTCCGGTTTCGGATGGGCTCTGGGTTGGAACTCGATCCAGTACCTGATCAACTCCGAGATCTACCCTCTCCGTCTCCGTGCGCTTGGTGGCTCCATTGCTATGACATTCCACTTTGTCAATCAGTACGGAAACTCCAAGGCTGTGCCCCTCATGTTCATCGCTATGACCCACGGCGGCACTATGCTCTTCTTCTCGTGCGTCACCGCCATCGGTCTGGTCTGGGTTTGGTTCTTCCTTCCCGAGACCTCTGGCAAGTCGCTCGAGTCACTCGACGAAATGTTCAATCTGCCCTGGTACCTCATTGGTCGCAAGGGCGCCGAGCTTACCCGTGGCACTGGCGCCATGTCTGAGATTCTTGACCATGCTGGCGAAAAGGCTACCACAGTCGAGATGGAGAATGCTGAAATCCAGAACCATCGCGCTGAAGCCAAGGCGTAGGGATTTGTGCAGTAGAGTAGTGTATATAGAGATTTTGCCAGTGATGGCATGCAAGTAATTGATATGAAGTCATGAATGTACATGATATGAAGATTTTGCCTCTTTCTTACTTACCTCGCGTTGTTTGTGCATTATGTTGACCATAATATGGGGGGGCTTGTACTTTGATCCAGTTATTTCTTGGAGCAAGATTTGTAGAAAGAGCACATTTGCGAACATAGTTAAGAAGATCATTTCAAGATGAATAACACTGTTCTGAGATGTAGATACTACTCTACTCTAGTCTACTCTACAATGAGCTAAGTAGGATATATATGCGTAGTGATCACGCAAGGATAGCATGGACGGCGTGTCGGCTTATAGAAATGTGGGACATCTACCAAGTTCACAATACATGATGCGCATTAATGTAAGTCTAATCGTGTATCCTTGAAGCACCACGATACTCTAATACATTAACACATTACTTTTTCCATCTACAGGACTGCTCCATGCATTATCTTTTACTCATCAAAGCTCAACCCCACATTGTCTATGGCAAGAACACACATGTCAGGAAAACTACCATGTTCAGGAAAGACAACACACTTACCTGGAACCAGGCTGCAGCGCAAACCCAAGCTTAACCTTCTTTGGGTTTGTGAAGTCATGAATGACATATTTGCCCTTGAAAAAGTTTGTGCCGAACAGATGGAAATCCACACCTCCACCGATATTCTGCAGACCACCCAGACAAGTCTTGCCCGCGTGGTCGACGGGCTGAGAGATGAGCTGGCAGCCTGGCGTATAGAACTTGCGGCCGGCGATCACGACGGTCCAGTCTGGGGGCTTGCTGTTGCACGGGATCGTGTAGCCTTGGTCGCGCTTTGTAACAGCGCCAGGGATTTTGGAGTACCACTCTCTTACGATATCTGGGTCCGTGAAGCTAACATCTGTGCCGGCATTCAAGTGGATATTCATCTTTCGCGGGCTCGTCTTTGCGCTCTGATCGCCGACGCTCCAGCCCTCGCCGTAGAAACTGTACGCCGCCCAGTAGTCCTCGAGGACGTTGTCGACCCACGTGATAGCCCCGTTAATCTTGTTGTTGTTGATGAAGCCGAATTCGAAGACGCCACGGCCCTTTGCGTGGGCGACGGCGAAGACGGGCTTTGCGAGCTGGGAGAGCGCGTTGACGAACCAGGTTTTTTCGGTACCGATGTCGTCGCCGAGGAAAGTGTATTCCGTGGGGCCGAGCCCGAGGTAGCCGTCGGCACTTTGGTCAGAGGTGAATTCAGTGATGGCGCCGGTGGCGGCGCCGAAGGTTGTTTTGGCGGTTATGCCGCCAACGGTGACTATGAGGAGTTGGCATTAGTATATACATATACATATATCGGTGGCTGCTCTTGCATGGTTGAGAGACTAACTGGGCTCAACGTATAAATCGCCTTCTACCTGGGCATTCGCGCCGTCGTATCCAAAGCTGAAGTTTCCTGCTTTCTTATGCGCAGGGTTAATGTTGTAGACTGCGTGGCCGGCAGCCTGCTTCGCGGGTAGGGCAGAGGAATAGACCCAACTTAACAAAGCATCAGCATAGAATCCATAGTAGTTACCCAGGTGTGCTGGGATGTAACTTACGTATCGGAGGCTGACGTAGTGCCGAAGACACGGAAAGTCTTGCCAGCAATTTGTATAGGATACACAAACTCCGTGTCCCATGGATCAGGACTTTTACCAAATACGGTGCCGGTGGCCTGACGAGCGGCCAATGTGGCGTGTCTCTTTGCAGCAAACTGGTTTGCAGCCTCTGCGAGCTCGGGGTGCACGTCGCCGCCGAACCTGCGCTTGATGTTGACGATGTGCTCGAGCTGATGCACGGGGGTGCCATGGGCTTCTGTCGACTCGAGGCTAAAAGAGGCACCGGCTGTTTTGAATTGAATGTTAGCCAAGTTCGTGCAGGTCTATCTGGTTGCCAGGATTGGGATTCACTCACCCTCTGGGACGGGTGTGGCAGTAACTGCGCCGGTGTAGGCGAGTATGGCAATAGCTTTAGCCAGGGTCAACATGGTGAGAGCGACTGGCTATATATTAAAAAATGAATGTAATCTATTGTCTATTATGAAAACGATGGTGGTGTGCAGTATGTGCAATTAGACCTGAGAGTGGGATGACTGGCGTGAGTATTCTCTCCAATGCGAGTTCAATGATCGTTTTATATGAAGCATCACCGACAATGTTACTACTGTGGAATGACATTTCTGCTCGTGAGGTCTGGGCAGGGTATTCAAAAGTTAATCTCAGTTTCGCGGCGCACTAAATGATCATAGCGCAGAGTATTCTGACAGTGGCGGTTATTTTTAGTGGTCGCAGAGTAGCCCAACAGTGTTCAATTTCGCGGTCAGTCTGACGGTGACATCGCTGACAGCGGTAGGCTTTATTTGGGTAATTGTGCCGCTGGAGATGCAGAACTCACCTGCTCAAAACAAAAAATGTTTGTTTCGGTGCTGTAGCTTTGTTGAGATGCAGTATTACAGTGAGCATCAGATTCTTATAAAATACGGAAAAAGACGAGAGTAGATGTTTGGGTACGAAATGGCTAACTCTGGTCGGGGATTTGCATAAGTACCGTGGTCATTCGAGTACATGAACCATGTTTCCCCCAGCAGTTTCCTGACTCGCGCAACAGTCCTTCCTGTGTGCCGAAAGAAGTTCCAGAATATGATATTCGGCATATACACATAAAGCAATGCTAGGGCGGCCCATGCCCTACCATCCATTGGTCGAAAAAAGATTAACATTCTGACACCGTAGAGTTCATTGAAAGCTTACTTAAGCTACACCTGCCGGGAAGTCAAAGCAACGTTCCGAGCTAGGAATATCCCTGCAGGAGAGAGCGTTTTTGACAGGCGTTATGATGCGCGGTCCAATCACGTCTGCAATCATTGAGGTACTGTCTCATAACGGCTATCCCCGACGCTTGCTAGGTAAAATAGCAATACGGGATGGAGACTCTATGGAGGGCTCTCAAGTCATAAAGTTTTTTCTTAGAAATACTCAACTTTTACTGACCTCGCCCATACTGTGCATGGACAGGTACAATTGGTGTATGGACATGTGCTGCATATTGTCGCATCCCAACGCAAGAACTACAGGCTGGTCAAAAACGGCAAAACGTATCCGCCCTAGTTTTCTCAAATTAACAATAGCACGTTTTCTTTCCTCCATACCATCTAGAACCTCGCCAGCTCCCTTGCCTCCAGTTTCTTGGAGTAGGTCATCAGGTGTATATAACTCTACAACCTCTCTACTTTCATCCGCAGGGATATCAGTAACAAATTAGTTTCATTAGATCGAACGGTATTCACAATGTTCAACCAAAAGTTCGTATCTACATGTCTTAACACCTGAATTTCTCCTTCACAAGGTAGTCACATGAGCAATTGAGATATACCACTGATCCCCCAATTATCACTTCGTAAAGTGAAGAGAACCCCATATACTAGAGACCCAGCCTATTGTAAGAAGAAAGACATATTGGGGTGATGTATCACAGCCGCTCAAATACTTGTTGTTGTGTTAAGTGGGCGCGAAGGAGAAAGAAAATTGCAAAAAGGAAATCTTTTCAGGAAGAACTTGAAAATTAGCGCCCTGTGAACTATATCTGCATAATAAATAGATATACTGGCTGCTATGCTTTGGAGCTGTCTAGCGCGTTATCGATTGGTCTTTCTGTTTTGACTTATACATCTTCAATTGAATTTTCTATCTTGAGTTGCAGCACATCGCAATATCATTTCCGACTTGAGGTATAGTGGCCGTACTGTTATGGTTAGTGGGTTGTCTCGCTGTACGGTGCGTCCCGTAGCGTATTGATGGCGCTTGGCGGTAGGAGTCCGATATCTGGATTCTGTGGCCATGTACCGTGATACCGCCGAGAAGCTTTTCCAAACGGCGTTCGGCACTTTACGTAACATTATGTGAGCTCACACACGGTTCATTGGTGAAACCTTAATTCAATTAAGCCGTGTATTAAGAAGTCAACACGAGATGGAGCATAGCAGTTTGAAGCTCCGGGAAGTTAGCAGAGAAGATGCGAAGCATGTATGGGCCAGAACATGAGTATCTTGGGTTACTCGATAACCTATAAAATACCGTACATCTACATGGCAGCTACCATTTGGACTTTGCAACACGGAACGCGTCGAGAGTTGAGATACATTAGGCATGATCATATGAGGAATTGATTTGAACTTCGGATAGCACCATAACCATCAATCCAGTCATTACTATGCTTACTAATTTATCTAGAAAGTGAAGATATACCTTGAGGCAGGTAATTTTCGGAGTCACATACCGTCATAACGACCTTTTTATTAATACAGTTACTGGCTTAAGCCGGCCCGGCAGATCATTAGACCTACTGACGGCGGAGACTCCAAATAGTCATGAACGCGATGCGGTTCAAGATATTGTATAATGAGAAATTTGAAGCATCATACAAAGAACAACGCGCGGTGGAAGCACTGCGAACAAAGGGCGTGGTCATGTTCGCACATGACGCCAATCTCAGCGCATCAGCAAAAGACACATTAGTAGAGAATGCGATGAAGAAAATGTAAAGCAGCGGCTCCATGGAAACATTTCAACATGGGCAAGTGAGTGGAGGAGACATGCATGTTGGTGGTTGAAGAAGAGGATAGCTTGGCAGGTACGAATGGGGTTGCTTAGGGCTAGTCCTTGTGCTTAGTTACCACTACTTTACACTATGGACCTTCAGCATTAGGAAAGAATAAGACGAGTTCAGTCTAGTATCAACACATGTTATCCACCCGACACATGAACGCCTAGATAGTCTCGGAAGTTGCAAGCCGTCTGTATGATAAGCGATTGACCAACGGCAGGGGCACACAACACCACGCATGCAGTCGCTGCCGAGGCCATCCGCTTAACAGCAGGAACCTTATGCTTAACAGTAGGTACCATGCGCTTAGCAGCAGCAACAATCCCCACGATGATGTAGCCATATGCCGGTACGGAAGGAATCAACATGGGCAAGAAGGTATATAGCTGGCAAAATCTGCTGTTGACAGCATTGCTTCTTACTTTGAGTGGTCTCGCTTTGTACGCACCATTTGACAGAGAACACAACAACATGTGGGTTCTATGGGTAACGTCTCTCTCACCCCAGTGCGAATAAGCGTCAATGAACTAATGATGACAGAGTTCGGTGAGCATGCTGCTCTTTGCACGTGCGGTACCTAAAAGCTCCCAACAATGTCCAGCATAACTAACAACTTCAAGAAAATGTACTGGCATCACGATCCGACATCCGCTTCAACCACATCCAGGTCATCGGCACGCACAACTCGTACCATCGCGAGATATCTCTAGCCGAGCGCATAGTCGTTGATAATAAGGTGAACTCTTCTCAGCTATCTTCTACGGTCCAAAACCTATACTATTCCCACGCCGAGCTGCACAACCAGCTAGAGTACCAATCTGTCCGGTCCTTGGAACTCGATCTGCATTCAGATGAAAATGGTGGTCTTTACTATCGTCCCTTGATCCAGAAATTCGCGAATCTTACCAAAACGCCATTCGAAGGCGATTTCCTCAACAAATCAGGGATCAAAGTCTTCCACATGACGGATGTAGACCCGAACTCCGTTTGCCAGACCTTCATCGAGTGTCTCCGGCAGCTCAAAACCTGGTCAGACAATCACCCCCATCATGTCCCTATTACCATCGACCTAGAACTCAAAAACGACGCCAACCTCTGCTGGCTCGGAGGTCTTTGCCCGAAAGACGTTGAGAACTGGACCTTGCCACGCATCCTCAACGTCGACGCCGAAATTCTCTCCGTTTTCCCGCGCAAGCAGCTCATCCGCCCGGACGACGTGCGCAAACCACACCTCACCCTCGAACAATCCATCCTACAGCATGGTTGGCCCACTCTAGACTCTGTCCGCGGCCGTGTTCTCTTCTTCTTCGACAACGAACCTGACCCGTCCGATCAGAATTCTCCCCGCGTACTCTACACCAAGGATGCACCCAGCCTAGAGAACCGCACCGTGTTCACGAATGCGCTTGAAGGCTCCCCCGATGCCGCGTTCATGAAGCGTAACGAACCGCAGAATGAGACCAACTTGAAGGAAATCCAGCGTCTGGTGCGCAAAGGCTACCTTGTGCGTACGCGCGCTGATGAACCGGTTACCACGGTGCTGAACCGCAGTGTCGAGAGGAGAGATGCTGCGTTGGCGAGCGGCGCTCAGATTGTGAGTACGGATTACCCTGCTTATGGTATGAGTTCCAGGTGGGGGTGGGATTATGTTGCGAGTCTGCCAGGGAAGAGACCCGCCAGGTGTATCCGGTCGATTGCGCCTAAGTGGTGTAAGGATGAGAAATTGGAATAGGGCAGAGAAGGCGGGAGAGATGGGGGAAGTGGGGAAATATGGAGAGTGTGCGCATGGTAAAAGGAAGTTGAAGTGAGTGCTACATGGGGTGTTGATGTGTATTGTTCCACATGGCTTGCTTGGGATGGAGTCTTACTGCTTTGCCTACACACTGTCGGGAAATCCTTTTTTGGCTTATCCTATTCTCAAATCCTTTGCTTCTTCTCAGATAACTCTAGTCCTACTTTCAATCGGTTTACTATCCAGCCCCTTCTATCGCATCCATGTAGTACCAGGGTTCTCTCTATGTTTCTTCTCTTGGATGACATTCATTTGTAAACTCGCTGGTCTGGCCTCTCTGCCGATAACACAAGTAAGATTTTTCAAAAGTACGATGTGGAAGCTGTTACAATCTGGATAATCTATTGCTGGTATCGATATGCTATCAAGACTTGAACACACCTTTTCTCAGAGCATGGTAATTCCACTCCCGAGCAGATCTTACACGAAACAATCGTGGTCCAAGTATCTCAAATTCGTCGTTTGGCCCAATCTGTGTTAGAGCTTCAATCACCTCCTCTTCTCGCCAGTCAAGAAGCAGCGTCATCACATTCTTATTTGTGTTCCTAGCAGCCGTCTTCACCACTGCTTCTGTGATCGAGACGTGTGCTCCCCTCCTTCTCAGCAGCACTTTCATCACTTCTGTGCCATTGACATCATTTGCTGCGGCCGCCTCTGTCACTGTTTCTGTAATTTGGATGTCTGTCCCCCGTCGGTCGAATAGAATAGTTACTATGTCTGTGCCGCTGCTGTGATTTGAAGCAGCTGCCTTCAACACCGCTTCTGTGATCGGGATTTTCGCTCCCCACCGGTCGAGTAGGAGCTTCATGACGTCTTTGCCGCTACCATCATTTGCTGCGGCTGCCTCAATCACTGCTTCGGTGATTGGAATGTCTGCATCCTGCCGACTGAGCAGGAGTGTCATGAAGTCTTTGCCACTGCTGGTATTTGATGCGGCTGCCTTTACCACTACTTCTGTGATCGGAAATTTCTGCAATACCGATCGCTTTGCCAATGCCTCAACAGCTGTAGCTTGAACAAAATCTTCTTTGGCGTCTATTCGTGCTGCAACAGCCTCAAAGATTTCGATGGGCAACACTGGGTGTGCGCTTCGCTCTTCAACACTGACGGCTTGAGCAAAGTTGTCTTTATCCTCTAGCCATTTTGCGAAAGTCTTGAAGATGTCATCAGGCAATTCTGATTGTTTACACAGTGTTCTGATAACGGAAGCTCGAACAACCTCATCCTCGTCCACTAGTCGTGCTGCAACAGCCTTGAGAATATCACTAGGCAGCGTTAGCTGTTTGCCCAGTGTTTCGACAGTGATGTCTCGAACAGAACTATTTTCATCCTCCAGCTGTGCAGCAACAGCCCTGATGAGATCATCAGGTAACGATGGCTGTTCGCCTAGTGTTCGGACAGTTTCTTGTCGCAAATAACTATCTTTATCCTTCAGTCGTGCTGCATAGACCTTGTTGATTGACTGATAGTTACTGACACTCTCCGACGACAATCGTCCGTCCGAGTCCGGTACTGCTGCGAATTCTTTTGGCCAGTACTGAAATAACCGATCCTTGAACAGCGATTGGTTGGCACTTGTAGTGACCTGATCATCTGGTATCCTTATTCGTACTTTCTCGGATATTATTGGCTTTGAATCAGCTTCGAGTGGCTGTACCATATCCCATATTTGGTCCAATACTGCTTGGATTGGCATCATATGAAGCTCGCCGAAGCAATTGAGTGCAGTCACATAGCCGTATACTGTATCGGAATCAACGTTAAGTACTGGTGAGCCACTATCACCTATGTGTAGATGCCTTTGCTCTATTTAGTCGTCAGCAGAAATAACGCAACAATCGGCGAGGTGCAATTCATACCGTCTTCATCAAGGGCAATTGTCCACACTTTAGTCCAGGCGGTAGAATTCCTAGATCTGGAGATATAGGAAGGAATGCTTGATGATGTGCCCTTACGAAACCCATAACGGGTGACGACAACAACGGTAGTTGGGGTCTTGGGAAGGTCAGACGGTATCATTTCCCATTTTTCGTCAAAAACACATGAATTCGGCATTTCTACCAAAGCCCAGTCAAGATCTGGCTGATCTGCCCATTTTGGATCGTCCGGTCTCCCCCACACCTGGTCAGGCTCGATCTTGAAGCGGCTGGGATGTTCCCAAACTTTCTGTCTTGGAGCTGGTTCGCTAGGGCAGCTCAAACTGGGCTCTTGGCCTTTTCTCACTGCAGCTGCTTCTATTTCGATCTCGTCCCAGTCATACTCACCGACCGTTTCTGAGAGTCCATAGTCGTTTACATAATCGCTGCCTGAGCTACTGTAATCTGACATTGAGTCCTCGGGGTCCGAGGCACGCTTATCGCTCTCTTCCTTGTCATTGTCCTCGAATGCATGAGCAGACGTTAGAGCAAAAACAGTGTCGTTTCCTATAAATTGGACACCGCAGGTGATAGTGCTGGTTTGATATAGTTCATCGTTTGAGACTAGCTGGGCACCAGCAAGGCTTTCTCTGTCCATGTATACGTTGAGTGACTTCATGGAATCCCCAAGCATCCAAAAGTCCTGAGAAAGAAAGAGGTAGAGTCTGAAGACTGGACCCATTCTTACATTGCTGTACTGATTCTGCAGAGTGCTCGCACTGAGGCTTTTCAGGATGCGCTTAGCCCACTTGAAATCCAGCAAGGGATGGTTGATCAGAATTGACGCGTAGCTATCCTGTGGATTCAAGCCACATAGCTTGAGCTTGTACTCTGTATCAGCTGGGTGAGATGCTGAGAGCTTTTTATCTGTTAAAAGTTGCTGCCTAAAAAGCTCAACAATATCGGGAAAGCGCTTCTTGTGCGCGTCGCTGATGTGTGCGTCCGCATGCCAGTAGACCTGTATCTTCTTCTTATTGAAAGGTATCTCCAAAGGATCACGAAAGTCATGTTGAGCCTGATCTGAATCTGGCGCTAGCGGTGCTGCTGCTGCTCGTGGTACTGATCGTGATCGAGTCGATGCCGTGGTGGGTGCTTTCTTCCTATTGAAAGTAGATTTGAGGAGATTGCGGAAGTCATTTTGGAACTGATCTATCTCCGGCGCTGGCGTTGCTGCTGTGGGCGGTGCTACTGTGAGCGGTTCTCCTTTTCTTAGAGTCGATGCCTTAGTGGGTGCGTCATTTGAAGGAACCAGGTCATCAGCAGCGGGGCGACCCGTTGGCGTCGAATTGCAAGTAGACTTGCCCTCTCTAGCTGGCGAAGTACCCTGTGCCGCGGCTTGGGGTTTTGTGGATGCGGCCAGCATCAGTAGTTCTTGAGAGACGGTGTTCTGTTTAACGAATGTAGTAGGACAGTTATTCATGGTGTCTCCAGAATAAGAGCTTAACACTGCCTGCTCGATTGGTGCGGAAGATTTTGTTGCTGAGTTTTGAACAAAGGCTATCGGCATATTATTGCACCAGTTGTTTGGATACGCAGGGCTGTCTTGTAGAAGAGACCAGGACGAGATTCCGAGAACAGCAGGTAACCATACCTTCTTTATGCCCTGCCTAGTCTGCGTCTCTCATCTTCAGCTACTTTGGTTACCGGGAGTAGGCAAATCAGGCTTTTTGTTCCCTGTATGACCTGCGCCTCTTATTTCCAGCTGCCTTAGCCATATAAAGTAGGCAAATGAGCTTCTTCATGGTCGGCTTGGCCTGCGCCTATTTTTTCAGCTGCCTTGGCTGTGAGGGGTAGGTAAAGGCAAGCAAGTTTCAAAGCTCAACCCCTCCCCGCACATCGAAGCTATTGCAATGAATTTCACTCAATCTCCTCCAGGTGCTGTGGACAACAGCTCCGTCTCTCTCGACGACGATACGCTGAAAGCGCTCTGTCAGGTAACTGAATTGGAAAAATTCCAATTTAGAGCTTTCCGCCAAATCTACCAAGATGTGGGTCCAGGAGTACGTCCTTCACAATATAAAGGCGACGTCACTATCAACATTAAAAGATTGGGTCTACCAACAAACAAAAGCGTCGTTGAAGCAGTTCAGAAGCTAAGGTCTGGGTATGAGAAAACGGCAGAGGCTTTCTCCGCAGAGGCCTTCCCCCCTGATGTCAACAAGGAAATCGCATTACAGCAAACAGTAAAGCTCGCCTATCTAATTGATCCTGCATCATATGATGTCCATCCAAAAGTCTTTAGATTCGAAAACGAACCAGTGTTCCCTGTTAAGTGGGAGTCAAGCCAGACATTTGAAGATTTTTTCAACACGGCTTTTCCTATCACCACTAACGCTCAGGAACTGTGGACAGCCTCGACCGAGAAAAGGTCTCTGAAGGCGTGGAAGCTTTGTCAAAGGCAGAAAATTCGAATCGAGCGGACCGACGACCTCGCAGAGCACCTGGTTTACGATGCGCGTAAGAAGACACTGATGGTTTTTCACCAAGTTGAATGGCTCAAAGCACAAATATACAATACCAAGATGAGAGCTCTGGATGAACCCGTGAAAACGAGCTTTTCCGCGTACGTATTTACTATTTTCACACATCGGCTATCCCGTATTGATGTACAGGATCTAGTGGTACACTGCCCCCGCAGCTCCTTGTCGAGACCTTTTCCACTATATATGACATTCTCTTCCCGATCGCGACATGCAAAAAGACCGACGAGATTGCGGAACGCCTTGTGGAGCAAGAGAAATGTCCTTTCGATCCTAACCTGCTCATCTATACGCGATTAGATCGCTCGATCCCCAAAGACTTCAAGTACCTGTACTGGAGTAAAAGACTGAGGACCCTACAGAATTTAATGAAGGCACCGCCACCTAAACACAAGATCACTTCGTGGTTTGAGCGCCACACGTCAGAAAGAAACGCACTGACAGTTGCTATTATTGGCCTGTTCCTAAGCGTTCTATTTGGTTTTCTGGGGTTGTTAGTGGGGATTGCCCAGCTTGTTATCTCTATAATGGCGTGGAAATATCCGGTGTAGAGATTTCGTGATTGAACGATAACTTTATTGGGTTTAGAGAATATGGTAGCATTGTAAGTAATAGAATGGTTGTCTCTAGACTGTGTCGTTATCACTTTCCAAAGACCATGTTTAACAGTGCACTCCAAGGAGCATCTGAAGGCTAACAAGAAGGAGCTATTATGTTGGTGGACTGGATTGCGAGCAACTATGAGTAAAAACACTGTCGAGAGATCTCTAATGCACCTAGGGCGGTCGCGCAACTCACCATATTGCGATGAAACATAGCGCAGCGCCAGTATACTTATCAAATCCCATATTCAAGTCCGAAAACCACAAGAGTTTTGTCCAATATCGCTACAAGTGCTAAAACGCCTCTCGCTATACATTCACGTTGCAGGCGTCGCACACTGACAATTACTACCTGCTATTTTAGCAACCAAGTCGACTGAATCATCAAAATTATATGATAGGCCTTTGATGTCTCTAGTACGAAATGATTGCAAGGCATTCATCTGAATGTAGTATTAAGAATCTGATGAAGTAGCATCCCGCCTAAAGTGAGACTCGAGCAGTAGAGAGGTACGTTGGTACAAGATCAAAATCAGCAATGCACAGGCTGGTTTCACGCTACTTCGACAGCTAAAGCGCTCATTCCGATATTTAAGGGTCTGTTTGCTCGTGTCATAGAGTGAGAGCATTCCAAACCACTAACTGAAAACGTAGTCCTGGCGAGGAAGATCCATGATCTGCCACAACCCCTTCACTTTCCGGAGTACTTGCAAATTGAGACCTTGATTACCGAAGCGTTCATTGGTATCGGGTGAACCAGGACTCTGGGGAGCTTCAACTTCTCGCACACGATCGGATGCTCTCTCTTTTCCTTTTCCTTCCGCTAAACCTGGGCGATCAGAGTTTGCTGTGTCCAATAGCGGATTCGATGATATATTTTCTTTCTCGGAAGTCGCGATCGTTACTTCGTCGATAGTATTCTTTTCTTCCACGACCCAGCAGACTCTCATACTACGAAGTGTTGGACGCGGGAGTATCTCCCATTCAGGATTGTAAGGTGTGGCTACCTGACATGGCCCATCGACATCGAAGGTAGATAGCAGAGTTTCCTTGCGTCGTCTTTCTCCACGGCGGGACCAGTAGTCTCTGTTTGCTACCACCTCGGTAAGCACTACCAATGGCCATCGCCAATGTAGAGGTTGTTTTTTCACTGCACTAGTGCCTTGAAGCATCATGGTGAACATCTGCCGCCTAATCTGCTTATCTATAATTGAGACATGCGTGTCTGTTGGTGATTTTCCAAACACCCTCCCTACTCCCGACTCCATTTCAGCAGTGAATTGAGAGCTCGAGTCGATATGCGAGGCAATGCCGTCTTCTCCGCCTGGTGGCATGTATGTCCCACACCAAAGCTTTCCCGTTTTCATGATCCGATCAACAAACCATAACTGCGCGAAAGTTTTGTCGAGTGTCTCTTCGAGCTGCAAAGTGGCAAATGGCCGTGTCAAAACATCAACGTGACTGAAAAGAGCATCGCCAACCTCATCGGGCAGTGGGTCCTCCGAGCCTGGGACTTGATCGATTCGGATAGATTGCCAAATGCTATTGGCCAGACCCCTCGCTAGAGCGCCTTCCTCAGTTATGGTTAGAGTATATCGGAGTATATCGAAAATGATTCGTGCAATAAGGTTTTGCATCTCTGGAACTTGCTTGACGCGATAGCAGTCAATGTATCGCATCACTTGTACTCCGCGATGATCGACACTTTCCCAAACAGCTGAATTATCTGGGATATGACCAAACTGTCGGAAATCTTTCAATGCTCGTTGAGAGACACCTGGTCGCGAGAACCACTGGGTTATTGTAGCATTTCGAGCATGGTATTGTTCCAATGTCTCACTTTTTTGACGGTCTATGACCAATCTCCAACACCTCAGCGACTCCCAGGCATCAGCCCAGGTCGATTGGACGAGCGTGAAGTCGATTTCACGGTCGACCGACCATAAATATGCATTCAGAAGCACCCCATCGGGGGTAACGCTGCCAGGCTGGACCGTCTGGATCCTGGTATTAACAAAGTCTCGTACTTGACAGTGTTCAATCCAAGGAGCTTCCAGGAAAAAATTCTGGAATAAGAGTGAGCTTGACGCATGTCCAGCGTAGGCGTCATCAGAGTATATTTGATCCGGTGGTGGATATGCCTCTGGTGCAAGCAGAGATAAGTCGCCATTATTCAACGCTAATGCCAATATTGCAAGGCGTAGTGAGCGAAAATTGTCGTCAATAGCTTTTGTGTCGAGTCGGAAATCGTAGTCGCACATGTTCGCTATTATAGCGAGTCTGTCGGACTCAAAGTAGCATTGACGGTGCTTCAATAGAGTGAGAGCCCCCGCAGCATTGATTGTTGGCCGTTTGCCATACTGGCCCTCACTATAGGTCATCATGGCTTGTTGAAGTGTATTTGCTTTCACCGTTCTTGGATGAAGAGATTCCGCTGCCTGGAGCACCGATCGAGCGCCTGGCCATAGATCTGCTGGCGCATAGTCAGAACGCACAAGCATTGATCCCATGATGGAGAAGTCACGGAGCAAAATTTCTTGCATGACATCGAGCATTCGCCAAAACTCGCTCACTGAAATGCATGAAAGCGTCGAATCAAGTCCACGCGCGTGGTCGTCGAGTGAATGGTAGGGACGATCTTCCACTTCGCATTTGTATCCATACCGGAACTTCGAAGAGACGCTTAGCCCAGAATTGCATCGAAATGCAAGTACCAGCTTCAATCCTGCACATATAGCCTCTTGGATGACCCATGCCCGGGTGTACCATCTATCTTGGCAGGTTTCGTGGAGGAGACGGAGGATATGTTCGCAGTACCGGGGGTTCATGTTTTTTTGTGTCGTTTCCCAATCAGAGCGTAGTAGAGTATCGATTGCATCGAGCTGCTCCTGTGATGTGATCTCAACGTTGAGCAAACCCGCTGTGTACATGGCTCTATTGTACACAATGTCCATAGACTGTATGCCAAGTTCTTGCATCGCCCAATCTTCCTTTGTGCTGATCTCAGTCGGCTGAGGGAGGCACTCTTGATCGATCCAGATCATTCGAAGGCCACATGAATTGGCAAAATCCACAGCACGATCTAGAACATCATCAAGGGCGCGACTGGTGCGGAGACGCCCGTCGAGGTCCCGAACGGTGTAGCTTCTTGGAATTGGTTTCTCGTCTCTTGGCGGCCAACAGTATGACACAGCGACATAATGCATGCATATATCGATTGATGCAATGTTTCCATCAGCGCCCTTATCAAACCACGCTGGATGATCCACCGTTGGGTTGACCAGACGGAATTTTCGAGGCTTCCATTTATGAGGAAATTCGGGATACCATGCACAAACACGGCATTTAGCTTTCCACGAGTCATCGGAGTATTCCGAGCGTTGGGGTTTGTCTCCTTCTGATGCCGGTATATCACCGTCTCCTAAACTCATCCTTAGGGCGTATTCCTGCTGCGCTTCTTCGTCGTCACTGTCAAACCCATCGATTTTGACGTCTGAGTCATCGTAGACCAAGAAGCAGATGTCTCTCGTTGCCCATTGCCGAGCCTTCGCACGCTCGAATTTGTACTTGGAGATTTCTGCAATCTCCATGAACACGTCTGACCTTACAGCTGTCCCAGTATCTTGTAAATCGTTCTTCATCTTCACTCCTTCCTTCTGGTCATGTGGTTTGCTGGCATCGACCGTGTTCTCTCCGCCGCCGATCGCACTTGCCGTCAGCTCGTTGTTTTGGACCGAATTGTCATACGACACATCATTGTCATGCGTATTTTCATATAGATCATCACCGTTAATTTCGCAGCTCATATCCCGATGTTCACTCATCTTAGCTTTGCGTTTGTCACGTATAGAAAGTTGTGTTCCACAAGTTTCTATGTGTCAAGGGACGTGTACAATCAAATACCTCAAAGGTCATCCAGGCAACAGGCGCAAGGCTGAAACCGCCCCGTCAACCGAAAATGGCATCCTCGGGGGCGAAAAGTCAGCCACTAGGGAGCCTTGAATGGCGAGTGAGGTAAGCACCGATACTTCCTTGCAGACATATTAAATCAAGGGTGTGGTATATTGCACAAAAATGGATGGCTCTCCCAGAGAGGCTGTGTGTCAAAGTAATTCCCACCAAAGTCGTAAAGCCTATCCAACACCAGATAGGCTAGGCAGCTCGGATTTTTGCTGACAATATCGATTGATGCTGGTGTGAGAGGGCTTTTTGCTTCCAAAGTCTTTGTCCTTAGAGGTCGCTCACACGTGGGTATTACACGTATAAAAACGCGTGTTTGTGAGAGAGATTCTGATCGGCTAGGAATGCAGCACATGAACTTGTATCACGCAGAACAATAACGGAGAGGCTGAGTGTGACACCAATCAGAGACATCGATGCACCTTCCAACACCTATGTGCGGCCCGTGCGTTACAATAGGCTACTGTCATCATGATGGCCGCCTCAGCACCAAGAGAGATAACAATGCCCGTAAACCAGGTGATTCCATTCAGCATATAAGGTGCCTTCAAAATATCAGAACTCTAGAAAGATTGGGCTATGAGGCCTCCCCCTACGGATTAGGATGCACGGCGTAGTGAGACAAATGAGGGGCACTATAGCTGCCATATGCAAACCGCCTACTTTATGATGGTTGACTGAACTGACTAATCCAGGTTATCTAAAGTACACATATAGCTAGATATATCTGCACTTGATCTTCTCAATAGTTAATCAACAAGTATATTTCAAGGAAGCTTCTTTAGTACCAAAACTGGAAATTCTTTTCTATAGTCTCTAAACGGTAAAGGGAGATTATTCCTAATACCAAAAGAGGCTCTGTTTTCCAAGAGCCAATCTAAAGTTCATCGAGGGAGAGATCTAATCTCTCGACCTTGCGCATTCCTTAGTATCGCGGTAAATTATTCCTGGTATCCCCAAAACCCACTGCGTCGCCCCTTCTTGGTGTCCATAGCCACAGATTTTGGACGCCTGATGACATTGGGGCCGCTTACTGTTTCCGTCCTGAGAATCTTGCTGCTGGCTATGCTGTTGTTGCCATTGATTATGCTCACTTTGACTTCCACGCGCATGTTCTATTGTACCCATGACATTCTTCAGCCCATCGACAATACCTGCAGCAACACGAAAGAGTTAGAGAAGGGATTGGCATACATCTTTCAGTGTTAAATACCTGTAAGCCCCACTGCACATTGCTTCACTTCGTTGGCGGGCATATGGAAGAATAGTTGTCTTGCATATGCCGCAGCGGATGCAGATGCGTAGCCTTGCCAGTCATCACTTTTATGGGAATCGGCATAATTCGAAATCCCACGGATGACGAGGCATGGAAAGTCGTTCATCACCCCTGCAGCCTCCATATCAAAGCAAAGGGCGTCGTGCGCTTTGTATAGCTCATCTCTCAGCCGACCATCCTTGATCACTTTCTCTCCTGCCGCAACTGTTCCGCGATGGACCACAATTCGTGAGCTGCGATCGTATTGAAAGTCGTCATCTTGGTTTTCGTTTGCATAGCGGTCGATCCTTTGTAACGGATCGCATGGACAGACATGGCATGGAAGTCCTTCCACACGATGTGAGTAGTCGGACCTGTACAGATTATCTCTGTCCGGACCTGGATATCTGTACCTCTGGAGTGTTAGTAACCTAGTATCAATCCTTTGGAGGTGGGGTGCAACCAGATCGTCCTCTGTGATGGCTTGCTCGGTCGACAGATCCTGCGCAGCGTTGAGGAGGACTGTAGGTGGTGGAATAAGATATCCAGTGCGACGAAAATGACCTTCCAGAATTTTACCGTGATCGTACTGGATTGCGCCAGAGTGATCCCGCTCTGGTTTGCTCACTATCACGTCCCCAAGATGAATGGGTCCGTTGTCCGTTCGGGCCGGCACGCCTGCAGTGCCAACCAGCAGCCCGAATCGAATCTGCTTGAAGGTGTTCCGCAGTTGCGCAACGACCGTAGCCGCAGAAGTGTTGCCTGTAGTGGGCAGGCTAGCGATCACAATATTGTGGCCATTGATGCTGCCTAGTTCATAGACATTGTGATCAATGGAGGACTGTGGCAGTTTCTCATGTTTCGTGTCCAGCATCAGCCTCGCAGCGATTGAGTCCACCCCCAGTGGGACGATCCATGCCACAGTATAATCGTCATGTGCGAGCCGGATCGTAGCATCCATTATGTTTCGTGAGGGCATATAAATTGTGCCGTGAGAGCGTTTCAGCTTGCATAAAAGTTGGTGGGGAATGACTGACAAGGCGGCCAGGGGGCCGGATGATACTTATTACGTAGGTAAACCCCACTTCTGACCTTGCAAGAGCTGATTAGCCATTGAACCCAGCCTCATGTCGGCCTGTATCGCGATTCAGTCTCGTCTTTCCCGCTCTACCCTTTTTTTGTTTGTGTGGCAGTGAACTACAGTGCGTAGTGCATAGGAGTAGTCATAACAGATCAAGGTTTTGTTGGGTACCCAGGCATAGGCGCCGAGCTCTCGAAGATGACTATTGGGTAATTTACTACTACTTAAGCGCAGTAAGCCGCTTGCAAAGACGGCCGGCCACAAAGTGTCCCCGTAAGTCAATTCAAGGCAGAACTTGCTAACGCCTCGAATATGCTGATAAGGCAACCTCAGCCTCACAAATTGTTGAGGGCTAGCAGAAAACCTGTAAACCAGCTGGTCAAAGAAAGCGTTCGCGTCAACGCGCAAGGATGGCGCCACCTATCTTTGCGTACTCATCTAGAAATTAGACACAATCAGAGTTATTATGTGATGAAAAGAAAGGTTCAAAAACTCATATCGTATGGTGAAGCATGGGCCACAATAGATATTAAGCTATTTCTGATCATTAAGCGCAATAATCATGTGTCCTGATATATCCTCGCATACAGAACCCAGCTATGTAGCTCCCGTAGTGGCTTAGTCCCTACCTAGTTATGTACTAACGACAACGAATAGTCTTCATATTATGAGTATTGATGGAGATAAACCCTTCTTTAATAAGACAAATCAATAGATCGATATGTTCTATATAGTGATGGTTGTGATGTGTTATGGTACTTCAGCCGGAACAGTCGGATCCGTACTCGGATATCTTGGCCGTCCGAATCACCCCCTCTCGCAAGAACAGCTAAGTCACCGCTTGGTATTTGTAGCGGGTAATGACAAGATCATTCCATCCGCCTGCGTGTATATATAGAAGCCTCAGTTCGGTCACCCACACGCACAGCACCGACTGAAGAAACGATTTTCGCTTGCCGAAGATGCTTTCTCATATCATCATCACTACTCTCTCAGTTCTTATCGCCCCCATACTGGCAATCGCTAACCCTCGAGAAAGCTACGCAGTAGAGTCGGTCCGAAATCTCCAAGCTTGTCTTACCAGCAAACATGTTGCAACAAGCTTGAATTCCTCCTCCGACTGGGCCTCACTGATTGATCCATATAATCTTCGTCTCCAGTACACTCCTTCTGCTGTCACACTACCGAATAGTCCCCAGCAGGTCTCCGACTCTGTCTTGTGTGCTGTGTTAGCAGGTGTGAAAGTACAGGCGAGATCTGGAGGACATTCATACGGCAGTTTCTCCCTCGGGGGACAAAATGGCAGTCTGGTAGTCGATTTACGGAATTTCAACAACATCTCTCTGGACAAATGTTAGTACCATGTTTTTACTTCCGTGAATTTCGTTACTGCGTTGCTAACACCTTCAAGCGACTGGCGTTGTGACAGTAGGTGGGGGTGTTCGACTTGGTAATCTCGGACTAGGAATATACAACCAGGGCCAGCAAGCTCTTCCTCACGGAACTTACCCTGGTGTTGGAATTGGGGGTCACTATACTCACGGAGGGTTTGGGTACTCGTCTCGTCGTTGGGGTACGTGATTCGCTCCTGATAACCCCTCCTTCAGCTCTTGCCAAGTGACTACGCAGCATGCCAAGAGAGAAACTCTGGTTCTTTGTGATAGCTTTGCTGACCATTGATCCCAACAGGTCTTGCACTTGACACTATCGTAGCCATGGACGTCGTTTTAGCCGATGGCCGCTTTGTGCACGTCACGCCCGTCAGTCATCCCGACCTGTACTACGCTCTGCGAGGAGCTGCAGACAGCATAGGTATCATCACAACATTCTATCTTCAGACGAAGCCGGCACCAGCTCGAGTTGTCAGCTACTCGTCCAATTTCTCATCGGCCCTGATGTCAGCGGACGCGGCAGCTGATGTAGTTCTCAAGCTTCAAACCTTCGTCACCACCTCTCCATATATCAACCGGAATCTCACTCTTGAGATTTACACTAGTGTTTTCGGCGAATTCACTGTTCGTGGGTGGTACTTCGGGGATATGGCCTATTTTTCGGATACCGTGTTTCCAGCAATGTTGAACGGAATGCCAACCCCCAGCAATACCACCATCCAAGAGAAGGCTTGGCTGACGGCGCTGGAAGATATTGCTGAGGGTGAGCCACTTACTGAGCCACTGGACGGTTACAACAATCACCAAACATTCTACACCAAGTCTGTTGTGACAAGAGAAGCTCAGCCATTAAGCAAGGAGGCCCTAACTAGCTACTTTCGATACATCACCGACAAGGGGCTGACTGCAACATTTCCTTGGGAAACGTTTATCTCGCTTTATGGCGGCAAAGACAGCCAGATCAACATCCCTGCAGCCGCTTCCGCTGCATACTCTCATCGCGATTCTCTCTGGGTTTTCCAAGTAAGTCTAATATGCCTTCTGAAGGACGTACTGCAACTGACCTGTTTCAAGAATGTCGGCTCCAGTGCGAATCGCTTGCCACCATTCTCCCCAGAAATCACGACTTTTGTCAATGGACTGAACACAGCGCTTACTGCCGCTCAGCCTGACGGCAATTTTCTCGCCTATCCGAATTACCTTGACCCAGCGTTGACACCTGTGGAGGCAGCGAATCTCTATTATGGGCGTACCACCTACCGCAAGCTTGTAAAAATCAAGAGTGAAGTTGACCCAAATCATGTTTTCTGGAATCCACAAGCTATTGGAAACGCAGTTCTGTAAATAATCTCTTCATAATTGCTAGGCGTATCTGCTTTGATTGACTATACCAAGAGGAGAAGATAACTCCCTGCCGAACGAATGCCAAGAACTCTATAAAAGCGGACTCATGATAACAATTATTTGTTGCCCTATATAATGAAAGTGAAATTGAGAGGTTCTTCAAAGATTAATTGAACCTCATTCTCCCACGCTCTGCTAATTACTCAAAAAGCGGAAGCATTCACTCCTATATTCCTAGCTGTCTACCGTAACATCTATTGATATCTAGATTCCAGGGTGCCGTAGCCTGAAGACTAGATTTCTATTTTCAGCCGTGTTAGCATTATAGCAGTGGACAGTATTTTACATTCAGTAGGTGTTAATGTTTCATAGCGTTATGCTACGGCCAGCTCACTTCTTGCGATCATACGACTTGTGATTTCACATTGCTATCGTAGGATATACCTTTTGATTAAATCTATCATAGAGCGTTTAGGAAATAGTAGAGATTTTGGGAAGACGTAGGGTTGTCACGATATCATTATTAAACCAGATTAAACACACTCTCTTGAAGATCGCCCTTGTCGCGTAGGTCTAGTGCTTCTCCCTTTTGAAGCCTCTCAACATAGCACTCACCAACGAGACGGTGGTAATCGGCTAGGGCAAGAGCAGGACTTTCCGTAGGTACTAGTTTACACGGTTTTGGCGTCTTCTTTCGAAACGGGCTCCAACTCCTCAAAGGACCTTTGAATTTTCTGACTAAGCTAGCGGGAGGGCCCGGATCCAGGTCCAGCCACGCAGGGCAGTCATCTCCTTTCGTAACTTTCTGTACAACGAAAGGGGTTTTTCCACCATACAGTACGCATACTTTGTCTCCAACTCGTGTAATTGGCGGTCCACAGCCAATGTACCCTGTTTCAGTGACAAAAATGGCTTTGTCAATCTCGACATCGAAATTGAAACTCAGCGCCATTGAATACTGTTTTTCCAATGCTTCTTCGCTCGAAATACCTTCCTCAAAAGGCCACTTCTCAACCGCTGTGTTCAGAGGAGCAAATAAATTGCTGAACCTCGGAAGTGTGCCCGGCTCGTTTTCTTTTGCGTATCGAAGGCCCACCTCCCAATACGCAGCAAAATGCTGCCCGGCCGACCCTGCTCCGGGCGGCCTGCAAATAGAACCCTCCGTAATAACTCTCGCGAATGCTTCCCCCAGAAGCGGATACTGATTGCTGCCAAGAAACCGCCATGGAGGATCACGAAGGACAGCCTTCCACGTTTTTACGACAGCGCGGAAAACGTTCAAGGAAAACATCGGATCATGATCATCACGGATGTCGATCAGATGGGTGTATACCTTTGAAATCCTATCGACGACTATGCCTTTCAAGGAAAGTATGCGGTCATCTTGTGATTCTACGATATATGGTTCGGTACCGTATGTTGTTCGGAAAGCAAAGTGGTACATGCGCTGTACGATAGCACAGTTGCTGTGGACTTTATCCCACTTCGGCACCCAGGAGGATTGTGTCTTGTCCCAGGAAAAATCTCCATCGTCATTACGCTCATGGCGTACGTAACTTAAGATATGTAGTGTCGACTTGGGTCCCCAGGAGCCGGGCATTTCGATGCAGTGTCTTGCAACGTCGCGGAATACAGCCTGCCAGTCTCGAGCGTAGTCGATTCGTAATCGCGGGTATCTCTCAGGCGTTAGAGATTCAATAGATAACCCCAATACCGCATAGACTTTGTCGTGTGGGATAGTAGAATTGAATCTAGATATCTGATCCAGTCTGCGCATCAATGGCATTGCTTTCAACCTGCGGCATGTATCAATCATGGAGATATTACGCAATGTGTCGAGGCCATCTATGTTGTCTGGGTAAGCGTGAGCTATGAACCAATTTACTGCTTGTGAAAGTTGGCCCCAGCCGAGTCTTGCATCCTTTCCTACCATTAGTAGCGTATAGTCTACACCTGATGCTTCCTGGATGATCCAGACGCGACTGAACCATGGCCTGCTTAGGAACTTGCTCAAACACTCCCATTCTGGAGCACCCACCTCGGGAAGACCAACCGTGCTGGGGTCTTTAAAAGCCAACGTGTCCGTCATCCTACTCATGAACATCTTGTAATAATCCGGTTTGCCGACCATGTCCTTATCCCGTGCAATTTTGTGGGCTTTTTTTTAGGAAAGATATAGCCTTGACTGCAACGGCGACTTCATTCTTGCCATCTTCAGCTCTGTCCATTAATGCATCGCCCAACCAGACGAGCACTCTTCCACATTTTGTATACACATCCTTCATGCGCATAACCTGAATATTTTTCTCTTCGACGTCCCGCTGGTTGATACATAGAGCATCCACCCATACAAGCTCTGCTGCCTCCGTATTTCTGACTCTCCGCAAAGCTGCTTCTAGATTCAACGTCACTTCGATTGTCTTGCCGTCCATCTTGATCCGCTCTTTGACATCCGTGTAGCCCCACACATAAGACAGTGCGTCGAAAGCGCCTAAGTGTTTTTCCAATGAAACGGTCACAAGCTCGCACTGTATTAGGTCGCATTCGGTACAGGTAGATGCATCCCTGCAAAATTCTTCGCGCAGAATTTTGCCCGATTCAATATCCTGCACGAAACCTGCCTTGAACATGCTTTCAGTAGTGCCTCTAGAGCCCCCCTCTTCGCAATCGTTTCCCTTATCATCTTGGTGGTGGGGGCCGCTCCCGCCGGGAATAATCGTAGGTAAAATCCGCAACAACCGGATTTGGTCGCCTTGAAGAGGTGAGTAGGCAGGCAGAGAAACGTTGTGTGCCCTGCAGCTGTCGTCCCTGCATCACTCACAGCACGATTGAGACGAGATGGACATGTTGACGATTTGTGTCCTGATTACAACTGCTTTGCTGAACTTATATGTGTTCCGGTGAAGATGGCTGTACTGCACCAACCCTCACCGGCTATTTTGGGATGCGATTTGGGGGCCAAGACTGCCTCTGATAAGTCAGCCCAACACGATCATCAGCAAAGTGTAGCGAAAACCCAAATTCCAGCGATACAAGATACAATCTATTTTGTTTCATACAATGTGAAAAGTCTTCATATAGAACTGCGTGCCCTTCGTCTCGTCTCGTAGCCTTGTAGCCATGTATTCGTGATCATGATTCGGGTCAGCTTGCAACATCCTACTCATCTTTGCGACAGCCCGAAGCATGCCCATTCCATCCATGATACCATGCACGTATGCCTCCCCAATCAGCTCACAAAGCTCGTCATTTCCGTTTCGCGTTCGAAGCAGTAGCGGCACTTGTCCTCCCAGCGGCACGCAAAGGGTATCCCCAACCTTCGATTGAGGTGGAAGCATACAGTACATCCCAGCTGCAGTTTTGCCAAAGCGCCAGCCTATCAGCAACATGTTTTCTTGAGGTATATCAGCACCCTCCGAGACGTCTGCATACCAGTTGCTTTGTCTTAGATCCTCTGCATTCAGTCGTTTATCCGCACGACGATCTGTTACGATGGTTCGCCAATACGCCGAAACAACACTTTCATGTTGTGAGTCAGACCATGGATACAGTTGTAAGATTGCATTCTGCTGTTTCGTTTCAGGTGGTGCCCAAGTGAGGACATCACGAGTCCACCGGTTTCTTGGAGTCTCGTTCTCAGATACGAGAGTTATCGGGCTGACGAATGCAACTGAATCAACGAAGATCCCAGCAATCAGTAGTCCAAGTGACGGAGTAATTTTGCACTGACTGACTTGCAAGGCTTCCATACTTTTCATAGTACCACATGCGTTATACTTCGACACTCCTGCAACAGAAAGACCAGAGATCTTAGCACCCTTGATGATGTCATCTGACAAATCAGGAATCCATGTTGGCCAGTCCCTTCTGCGAGGAATCAAAAGCACTTCCTGAGCGATGCCATACTCATGGCTGATAGGTTGTGGTTCGAGGTATTGACTTTTAGTGACACAATAGCTTGTGTTGTGAGATAAAAGCCCGATGTTGCCCTGTGCAAGGCATGTTCTAGCGAAGTCAATCGATAACTGATCCATCGTCCTTTTGTAGTCAACACCCAAGTCTTTTCCGTCGGTAGTGAGACTTAGTACTGCATACACTTTGTCTCGCCTATCAGTCGCTTCCCAGTCGAGAAAAAAGAAGAAAGTGGTGAGCAAAGACTTGGAAAACAAAGGGGTCGTTATTTCCGGTGGCATCCGGTACATACGAATGGTGCTCACTTTGCCAATAACTTCTAGAAGCGTTCCTAGCTCAGGGCCTTGCAAGTCGATCTTTCTCAGGACTTCGCAGTTGTTCTCAAGTACGCTGTCAATACAATTCCAGTCCACTGTATCCTTGCCACACACGAGGGTAAATTCGGGCGATAAGATCAATTCTTGAATGATCCAGACTCTGCCCCATACGACAGGATGTAGGAGAAGACTCTTCAGATCATCCCAGTCTTGGTCTGAGAAGGCCGAGAATGTCGTGCTTTCCGTTTCAACCATCGACCTACATGTCTTATCATGGCCGCTTGCACCATGGCCTTGGATTTTCACGATCAGTCTCATTGCTCGGCTGATCTGAGAATTCTCTGGTCCAAGCCATAACAGATCTCGGGCACAGTTTTGATAGATCTGACCCATTATCCGGACCTGCTGACTTCTCTCAACGTCGTCATTTTGATCTATACAAAGTGCATCTACCCAAAGAAGACGCCTCCTGTCAGGTAGTCGCAAAGCTCGCAGCGCTTGTTCCAGGTTGCGCGTAACTGGCCATGATAGATATGGAGTCTCATCGGATTGTGGTTCGTCCTTATATTCAGTCAAGCGGACGCAAATTAGGGTAGTGTCATTTGGATCTCCCCATCTGTAAGACAAGGCTTCGTATGCTGTGTTGGGATGTTCCGATCGATTATGGACATGGCATTTGATGTTGGCACCGAAGTCTCTAGAAGACTGTAGAGCCAGCACACGGAATTGACGATCGGCATCCTCCAACTTGGGATACTTCAAATTCATCGTATTTTCGTTGAATGTTGTGTTGGCTGCGTCGCTCTGGAAGAGAGTAAGCTGTTAGAGGATACATTTTTTTAAGTAAAGACTTGTAGTAGACTTTGAACCCACTAGTATTGCAGTTTGGATATCTTGCTTTGATTTATCATTGGTGGAATTTAAGGAACGTGTGTTTACCGAGCAACCCGATGTTTCTGCAGGTTCTTACCGTAAGCTTTTTTCTTATCTCCTCTTCAGAAACCCTAGTAAAGAGCGTGGCATTGTTCTCAGCTGAAGGCTGGGAGGCAGGACGGCGCGGCAGAGATAAGGATGAGCAGAAACTACGCTAGCTGCGGCTATGACTTGTTCCTTGTGTTCAGGCATCGCCCATTCGCTGCGCCTCCGCCCTTTCATGCAGCCACAAAACCAATTCGCCACGACTGAACAGCATGGGTCTGGATTCGCACCGCTTGTCCTTGCTTGTTAAATATTGAGTGGTAATGGCATCGGTCATGCATTCAGCCTCGGTAAAATATCAAAGCGATTACGTTTCACTGCATGTGATACAAGATTAGCATACTTGCTAGGACTTTGGTATTGAATAGTATTGCATCAATTGGATCCAATCAATTACCCTTGATTCCTTCGAGAAGCTATCTGATGTGGACGTCTCGGGCAAGGTCACTGCACACATGTGAGAACTCGCTTCCTGCCATTGACTTACTGTGCAAAGGCCGATCAGTATTGCAATAATTATGTTTGACATAGTTTTTGATAGCTCCGCAACACCTAATGTTGCAGTAAGTAGAAGGATGTGTGAGCCGAGACAGTGAAAGAGTGTTACGTATGTGCAGCTCGATCTGGTTGTCGATTTGTACGCGTAGCTGTACGTAGATGCGAAGGTTGGCAGCAAACAACCCTTTGTATGCTGCTACGGTATTGATACTCATGTGGGGCTTTTTGGAGATATCGAAGCGCAAACGCTTTCCATAACTAAGGGCAGCAAACACTATACTCTCCGAAGCGACGAAGGAGGTCACACGCATCTCTTCGCTGATACCTGCTGACGCGATTGCCAATATGTTCTCATCTCGATACCACAACGATGGTTTGACTTGGTTGTGACAGCAAACCTTGGCTGGAGGCGACACAGTTGTTTTATTCGAAAATATAATTTGCGGGTCATGTAAAGCCGGGGTAACATTCGTCCTGGCTACACTTGTACATATATATAGTCTCCCGTCACATACAGAGACAGGCTGCTTTCAGCCATAATAACATTTCTCTTCACCCACGCGAGACACGCGCGCATCACTGATCATGCCTACTCGCTTTATCGCCCTACCGCAGAGTATTTTTTTCCAAAATCTTTGCGCAACTCTTTCACGATGATTATGCAGCTTTTCACCATCTTTGAAGAGTGTGTCGCGCGACCAGATGTCTTTCCGAAGAGTTCCTTTTTCAGGAGATCACACTGACGGGGGCGCGAGATGGTGAGAGAGCATTTCTGCAAGGAACGAGAATGGCGAATGAGTCGGCAAGCGATAAAGTACAATATGTTCGAGTCAAACCTCCCCAGCAGAGTTCTGCGATTTTTCAAGAGCTTGTAGGACCACTAGTCGACTGCTGGGATCATTTCGCGAAGTTAAAAAAGATGATATAAGTTCTACAGAACCGTATTAGGGTTATAGAGGCTAAAACATCACAAATGGGAGGCCCTACATCCTCCCCCACCTTCGTTGCAATCACTCTTGACAGATCGATCCAACCTGCGACTTAAATACGTCAACAATGATCGTGAACCTTATGTGATGAACAAGTTTCTTCTATCATCCGCACAACTGCACCACCTAGACTTTACTGCTCTTACAAGCCAACCACAAGCTGTTTTCTGTTCAGAAGTGTGCAAGTTGAAACGGCGCTTACTTCAGGCCCACAACCTGAAGATATTATGTTTGCGAATGAATGTCGCTTCCATGGCACCGAGCGACGACTACCAAGAAAGCCCTGTCAATCTTTTGTTTCGAGACGGTGATTTATTTCCAGCGCTCAAAGAGTCAATCTTAGACCCAATGCTCCAGAATTACTTTCCAACTGTACAGCACTGCCAGATATGGTCACGTTGCATGGATTGGGGTCAACTACATACCTAAATTCCAGCCGCAGCACCCCGAAACATCCCTCTCAAGCCTTGACAGGACGTTTTGCACAGCTGAAGATACTTAAATTTGGCTTCTAAAAAGACTATGGGGCTGCCAGCGCCCTTTGGAACTCAAGCATTGACATGGAAGTTCTTGAGCGATTCATAGATTCAATCGATGCGCTGAGAAATGTGAAAATGCATAGCTTGGATGACGAGGATATGCAAAAGGTACGACCTGAATTGCTATACCATCATGGACGCAGTCTCCGAAGTTTGGAGGCAGATCATGCGAGGAGTGTAGCATGGGAACCTGAGCACTTTTATGATTTAGTGGAGACAGTTCAGACGATAAGGATTTTAGATTGCAATGAAAATACAGAAAAAGCAAGGGAAAGATAAATTGAGCGTGTGACCGGCCGAAGAAGCTACGTAGAAGAAATGGGCCGTCGCACGCCTGAAGAAGCTTTTTATCAGCTTGAGCCCCCAAAAGCATGGTACCGTGTCCGTGCACCTCATGCACGGATTCATCTCGTGCACGCCGAACACCAAACGCGCGTCTCAGCGTCATAACTTCAACGCGCTATAACTC